CTTCCTTGGATATACCCTCACTGAGAGCGGTTTAGAAATGGATCAGAGCCGAATCAAGCCTATACTAGAATTCCCCACACCTAAAAATAGAACCGAATTGAAATCATTCTTAGGATGTATTAATTATTATAACAAGTTCCTCAACAAATACTCCAGTACTGTTTACCCCCTTTTACGGCTCACTTCAAAGAAGAATAAATTCATATGGACGAAAGAAGACGATAAGACCTTCCAAGAAGTTAAAAACCTCTTCCTTAAAACCAGTGTTCTATTTCACCCAGATCCCAAGAAGACGTTCCATTTGCAAACTGACGCTTCCGATGTCGCTATTGGTGGACATGTATATCAATACTTAGACTGCGGGGATAAAGCTGCAATTATGTTCCTGTCTAGAACATTACAACCTGCTGAGCAGCGGTATACAACAACAGAGAAGGAACTTTTGGCAATCGTTTACTGTCTGCAGAAAATTAGATACTTAGTATTGGGCTCAAAGTTAAATATTATCACTGACAACCATGCGGTTACTTTTCTTAAAACATGCCACTTAAGAAACAATCGGCTTACAAGATGGATTTTGGCCATTCAAGAGTTTGATTTTAACATCACACATTGTAAAGGAACTGAAAACATCACTGCCGACACTTTGAGCAGAATCACACCAACCGACAGCAACTTCCCAAATTCACCAACAGAACTCACATTAAATTACATCCAACGAATCCAGGATCCTGAACCACAACATGAACTTCAAAATTTGTCCCATCATCAGTCAGAAGACCACCACCTACAACCGCTCTACCAAATTTTAAGCAATGGACCAGAACATCCTGATCACCAACACACTTCCCAAAATTACAGGCTACATAACAACATACTGTACCAAAGACTCAAAAACAAATGGTTGATTATCGTCCCGAATAATATAGTAGAACGATTAGTATGGGAGTGTCACCATTATTATTTACACTGTGGAGCCACAAAATGTCATCAACTCTTATCAGAAACCTTCATTTTCAAAAATATGCGCCGGAGGATTAAAACTATACTTGCCTCATGTGATATTTGTCAACGCTGTAAATCAAATCCCCATCCAAACCAAGGAATTGCTCAAGGAGTTCAATGTCTCTACAAGAATGCTCAAGTTGCCGTTGATGTCATAGGACCCTTACCTGCCAGCCGAAGCAATGTGAAATACATCCTAATAATCATTGATATATATACCAAGTTCGTAAAACTATACCCCATGCAACGTGCCACTACCAAAATTATCCTCCACAAATTATTTGACCACCACTTCAAAGAATTCGGATTTCCCAGACGCATTCAGTCGGACAATGCGACACAGTTTAAAAGTGAACTTTGGACGGAAACTTTAGAAAAACATAACATTACACCAGTGTACAGCCCCCTATACCACCCTTGTTATAATCTAGCGGAAAGACCGATAAAGGAAATTAAGAGATGTCTGAGAACTTATTGTTCACACCAACACCAAAACTGGGCAAATTATATAACCGATATTAATAACTGTCTTAATGAAGTATGCCACGAAACCACAGGTTTCAGTCCAAATGAACTACAGTTGGGACATAAAGATCTAAAATTTTGGGAAAACTACATCAGAAATCCTTTTACTCCAAACATTCCCTTGGAAAGAAAACTATTCCTCGCTTCAGAAAGAATCCAATCCAAAAGGCAGAAAAGAGCAAACAAACGCAATCAACGGAACAACCCTGTAACCTTCAACATCGAAGAACTTGTGCTAGTGAAAAACCACCCCCTTTCCAACGCTGCATATGGCGAGACCGCCAAACTTTTCGAGCTCTTCGAGGGACCTTTCAAAATATCCAAACAATTAGGACACTCAACATACAACGTTATCGACCTAATAGAAGAAAACGAATATGGACCCTACCACGTCTCCGCCCTCAAAAGGTACATCACCCCTCAAGATTCAACAAACCAAAATTCCCTCCAAACATGAAGAGAAGTGTTGTGATAAGTGCGCGCCTGTTGTGTACAGTCGTCAGTCATAATAGAAACAATTCCCCTCCCCTTTCCCATAAAACAATTAATGAATATATATATATATAGAACAATAACCAACCATCACTAAATAATACATTTTAGGAAAATGATTTATAAAAAATAATAGGAGTTAGTGAAGGATAAAGACCTTGAAATCCATCTATGCTATAGTTAGGAAACCCCTTTAAATATTGTGTTTTTTAAATATCTCTCATTATGTTAGTTAGGATATTAATGTTTTGTTATGTTCATGTACTTCAAAGTAATAATTTATTGTTTCTTTTCTTGTTTGTGTGTTGTTATCAGTTTTAATCAGTGTAAATATTTTCATTGTTAGTTCGAAATGTCGTTAGTAATTTCATTATAACTCCATTTCTGCGGGGATTTTGTAACAATTCAATATTTTCACCAATATTTTTTTAATAGAATAATTTAATTTCCACCATATGTTTTTCATTTTATCTAAATGTCAATCTCTTTTCAAACCATATATAGTAATTAATTGTCCATGCAGACCAATAGGTAATCTTAATACAATATAATATGGAAATTTTCAAATAACCTAATATCATGTAAATATATAATAGCCTATAACTTTTGTAACAAAATTGCTTCAAATTCAACATAAATTTATTTAAATAACTTTTCAAAATTATAATTTAGCTCTCTACCAAATGAAATTTATTATAATATATAAGTGTAAACAGTGGCCTATAATTTAATATTATTAAGTCGGCATTGACATATGTGAGTGCAACAATACATCAGACCATCATCACTTCCAATAGAACCAAGATAGTATGAAGATGCAAATTAGACACTACATATTTAATATCAAAATTTTATAAAAAAAGTACATTATTCGGACAAAATTAGTGAAATTTGTTGAAAGAAGAACCATCCTTGTGACGAACATTCGTAATTTATAACATCAAGAACTTAATTTCAAAGAAGACATCAATTTTGGTGAGATAACTCCAATAAACATTTTCCCTTTGGAAGCCATTTTAAAACCTTTAGACATTTGTACTCAAATTCAAAGTCAAGAACTAATAGAAGCTTAACTTATTCAAAATTATTATTAATTCAACCAATCTATAATTCGAACATAACTTACTTTATATTTTAAAACAAAATTTAATTAGGCTTAGGGCCTATATCACAAGATTAAATTCAAATGCCGCTCGATCACCCCACCTGAGATCAAGATCCTTGCAGTAAATTATAACATTGAACCTAAATAATTAAAACCATTGTAATAGGCCTAGCCTAAAGTTTTTAAAGTAAATTCATCTCCCACTGTTTGTACAATTTATTGTGAACCCCCTTTCTTTTCTTTCACTATCAGATTTGTATAGTAATTAATAAATTTAAGTTTCGAATTTGTACATGGAGTTTCCATTATAGACCTAAGTTAAAAGTTGATTACAATTATGATCAGCTGGATAATTTAATTGCTGTTATAATTAATTGCTGTTTAATTAATTACTGTGGATGGCTTGTTATAAACACATGTTACAAGTCTTTTATTTACCTTTTACTTGTTATTTTGTTCAACCAACATAGTTACTAGGCAAAGGCAACCCATAAGACCAATGTTACATTTTTTAATTTTCAAATGTGTTGTGTAACGAATACAAATGTTCTTTAGTGGCTGTCACGTTTTTAAGGGTACTAGTGCACCTGTTGCTCGAAATCGAGCAATTGTCAAGTACCGGTATTATACAGAAGTTATTTTAAAACTACAGTAATAACAGTCATAATTTTCGATGAGTTTGAAAGACCCTACAAAATGCTTATGTAACTAATTGAAATACTCACACTATTTAATAGCGCTTTGAAATAATAAACGCTTCTTGTAAAAATATTTTAGCATTTTTTGGACCCGGCCTTATTTTTTAGTGTTTTCTACAAATGTTTCCCGACTTAAAGCTGTTGCCAGTAAACATTTCTTGCATGTATTTATTTGATCTGACTTGAGGTAGGCTTACTTTACCACTGACAACTGACAGCATGATGTGTATATTCTTCAATGTTTTTTTTTTTACTTACAAAATAAGTTGCTTACCATAACAGACAAAAATGATGGTTGTGTACCTGGATTCCTCTACACTTCTCATACGCATAAGATTTCCTATTAATTGTCTCCTCCTCCTGTTTTCAATATTCCTCCTTTAAACTCAAGAAATTGTTTGTTCTTCCAACAAAACTGATTGACTGTTTAGATTTGTCTATAACCTCCTAAATATTACAAACATCAATATTTACTCCCAAAAAGCTGGTGAGTTTCATTTTATATACAGCTGTTTTTGTTTTTAAATTTGTTTTCAATGTAATTCTTATGGGGAAAAATATGATCTTTGAGAGCGTCTCGTGCCCTTAAGGATAAGAGTTTTAAAATTCTAAAACCTTTATGCAAAACTACGAATTGGGACGAATTATTTGACACCTCAAACGTTAAAATCGGTCCAGAAATAAAGGAGGAGTTTTGTTCACAAAAACAGCCCTCACGTATTAATATAAGAGATAAGTCCCTAATTCCGAAATTTAATCAAAATCCCTCCACTAGTTTTTGAGACATGTTACAGACAGACAGACACAGTCTTTGCTCGTATTACAATATAATGATTTTATCCTCACCTAAGCTAGAACAGTTAGTCAGAGGTGGGTATACATAACTAACTTACCTAAGAAAATAGTTAAAGTATCTTGTAGGGGCATAACTGTAGGGTTGTCTGTCAGGTGCAACTCATTTCTTAGGTAAGTTGGTCCATTCCGTTTGCCTGAATTTATTTTCAAAGTTTTCTTAAAATAACTTGGTATGTCTGTATTGAAGTTTATTGTTAGCAATGTCAACAATTAATTATCATTATTTTTCTCTAAAAAATTGGTTTCTAGAAAAAATATTCCTTAATTTTTTATTTCATAGATAAAAAATTGAGATATTTAAGAAATATGTTACTTTATAGAGAAGAGTACATCGAACAGAAACGAAAAGAACGACTTGAACTGAAAGAACAAAAGATGTTGAAGCGAAAGAGGCCAGAATCCGAAATGGAGGTAAGAGATATATATTTTTAAGATTTAGCCTATAGTTACGGTCTCTGATTTATTTAAAGTGATATTATCAAAATGTATGTTACTTTTGTTTTGACTTTGTACCAAATACTGAACTACTTTGAAACAAGATAAACTATTATTGTTTAGATCTTTTTGGATTCTAGAGGCTAAGATGCTGTGTAATTTTAATAATACTAATATCTTGAGTGCCAATAGTTTTGAGAATTATTCTTTAATCGCCCTAATCCTTTTGTGTTTCTGCACAATCAGCGTCATTATTGTGTAATATTCCATTGTTCTCTGTCATTTACTATTCAGGATAAGGCAGATGAGAAGGGACTTCCCAAGAACGCGACTCTTCATATGACCAAGATCCCAGAGGGGCTGGTTCGGGAGACAGTGAAAGAACAACTTGAGGGATTAGGCATATCTGTGGCGTTTATAGACTACAACAAGGGCGATTCTGAGGGGTGGATAAGACTGTTTGAGGAGGGCAGTGCTGAGAAGGTAGGTTGCTTGAACAAAATAAGATAATCAGGGTAGCCTTAGACCGGGTATTATGGGCGATTTTTGAAATTGTACAGGGAAAACTTTTAAATGCCATTTCTTTGTAATATTGATCTAAGACGAATTCAGAAAGGTTTAATCACTGAGCAATGTTCTGTATCTGCTTTCGTAATCGCACATGAAACACTGTTAGCACATGAAAACCACCATTTTAGCAGGTTTTACATAAGTTACTAGGGATTTAGAAATTGACATTAAATCTGAGGTTTTATCAATTTTTATACTTAAAACTAACTACATTGTTGTCGTTATGAACAAAGAACTGTGATACTTAAACAATAGACAGTAAAAGATAAACCACACTATTGGTGGGATTTTTTGGCACTATTGGTGTCTGGAAAACCAGGTAAAATTTGTAATCTTTTCCATGATTTCTGTGGGGCCACCTCGATGAGCTTGTGGAGGTTGTTACATTAATAGTAAAGTACCTGGGGACCGAGCTTTGCTCGGAGAAAATCATTAGTTTACTCTTAAAGCAGTTTAGTATTGCAGATACATTAATCCACTCCAAAACTCCACACTGCTCACCTTTACTACTTCCTTACCACTCCCTACATTGTGGACCTGTTTGGCCTCCTTCACTATACCATTTTAGAATTGCAGATACATAAATGTCACATAAAGTTCCCACACTCTGCACTGCTAGCCTTACTACTTCCTTCACCATTTCCTACGTTATGGACCTGTTTTCCTCCCTTCTCATAGCTTTTTAGGATTGTAGATACCCTAATCTAATCCCCGTTATCAGTTCCCACAGTTCGGACTGCTTACCTTTACTACTTCCTTCACCATTTCCCACGTCGCAGACCTGTTTCCCTTCCTTCCAACGGCATTTTAGGATTGCAGATACCCTAATCTAATCGTCATTAACAGTTCCCACACTCCGGACTGCTCACCTTTACTACTTCCTTCACCCCTTCCTACGTCGCAGACCTGTTTCCCTTCCTTCCAACGGCATTTTAGGATTGCAGATACCTTAATCTAATCATCATAAACAGTTCCCACCCTCCGGAATGCATACTTACTTGCATACTTGTATTTATCCCACTGGAAGCTTTTCAGCCGTGGTCGTCATTGGTAGTTGTCAGCCTTCACTCTTCAAGGAATTCTTCTACTGAATAATAGGCTTTATTTAATAGAAACATCTTCAGCATTTTCTTGAATTTAGCTTGATCTTCACAAAATCTTATTTCTTGTGGTAATTTATTGAAAATTTTGCTTCCTGAGTATTGAGGGCTAGTCTGTGCTAGTGTAGTTCTGCGATGGTTGATATGGATACTATTTTTTTGTCTTGTGCTGTACTTATGTACTTCATTATTTCTTGGGAAGAAATCGGGAAATTTAAGAACATTTAAGGCCGATTCCAATATATATGCTGATGGCAGGGTAAGTATTTGAAGTTCCTTGAATAAAGGTTCGCAGTGCTCAATGAAGTGGTGTTCGGTACTTATTAAAAGTCCCTAGATTGGTGCTACCCTAACCTTGCCCAACGTTATCTACGGCGAATCGTCCCCACTCCGACTACTGGAAACGCTACTCACTAGCATTGCCGACGGCGTCATGGGCAGACGTCCGCTACATTTTCCTACATAACTTTACATAGACTTTCATTTACTCATTAATTCAATTAACTTCATTTCTGTCAGTTTTAAGTTTTTTTTTTCAATATATCAGTCATTTTTTAACTTCAACTTCAGTGCTAGTCATTTCCCTTGTTGTTGCCCCCGCACCCTTGGTCTACACCGCTGCTGTCTACACCGCTTCCATCCCCTGGACTACCCACTACCTTGGACGAGACGGACGTCATCCACCTTCAAGACATCCGACAAGGTAACGGTAGCACCAGTATTAATTTTGTTGTTCAAACCGCCGTACGGCTTTCCGTTAAAGACCGTACACAATTTGGCCCTTCTACCCGCGGATATGATTTCGTACTATGCACCTTAATTTAATAACCGCAAATACAGTCCACGTAAACATCTCAACTTATTCTCAGAAAATTTCTCTCCTCATGAAACAAACCTTGCAATAATTTTATATGTAGTTATAAATTGTTGTTTAGTTTGGGTTCAATAGCCTTGTACAGTGAACAGACAGACAGGAATAGTTTTGTAAAGTTTTGGCTTGTAGCTATGCGCTGATAAATTGACCGTTATCCTAGTTTCTATGTCTCAAGGTCAACTAACGCACCACAACATTCTGCATTGTATTGTATCCATTCCAAAAATAGCTCTGACGTAACCGCACCGAATATTCGCTTTATCAATCAGCTGATCTAACTGGAAATATTCTACCTCTATATTTTATTTTACTGAATTTATTTCCTTGTACTCACTTTCACAATGATATGATTGATATGTCTGCTACTTGTCTAGATTAATACTGCATTTATAATAGTTGTAATTTTTATTTTATTTTATTTTTGTTAAAGAGATATTAATATTATTATACATTTCACAATGGCTGCTAAGAGTCTTGAAAAGTGTGTTAAGAAAAGAGAAAGGTATTTTTATAAGTTACAATTATGTTATGATCTTGTAAAAGAATTGCCACAACAGAAAGATAGTTTTATTGCTAGGTATTCGAATTTGTCTAATGTGTACTCATCATTTGAATCTCTTTCCGAAGAAATGGATAACCTCAATCTTGAAATAACTGACGTTAGCGTTAGGGTAGATACTAGCGCGCCTTTTAAACAGTTTGATGACATGTACTATAAATGTATGGCTGCCTACAACAAGATTGTTGCCTCTGATCCACCTTCAAATGTCAATGTTGAAGCATCACCCGCAGTTCAGCCTAAACCTAAACTACCCCAGATAGATATAAGTAAGTTTGGTGGACAGTTGGAACAATTTAACTTGTTTAAAGCTTTGTATGATAACTTGATTCACAATACTTCTTTGGCCCCAATGGAGAAGTTTAGTTATTTAAAGAGCTTACTGGAAGGCCCCGCTTTGTCAATTGTTGAAGGCATTCCATTCGATCCAAACAACTATAAGTTAGCTTATGACTCTTTGGTTGAACGCTACACCAATCCCCGTATCTTGGCTTGTTTTTATTTCAATAAAATACTAGATCAGCAACCTGTAAAGACCCCTAGTCTAAGTAGTTTAAGACAAGTTCTTGATGTGTTTCATATTAATGTCCAAGCGTTGAAAAGCCTAAAAGTAGATGATTTGTCAGATTTCATGTTGCTACAGTTAGCGCTACGTAATTTAGACAATAGTACCAGGAAAGCATTTGAGTTAGAATTTAAATCTAAGCAATTTCCTACCTTAGAAGACCTTATGGAATTTCTTCGTGCTCAGTGCTGTGTCTATGAACTCACTAAAGAATCTCACAAATCTACTTTAGTTTTGCCCAAGTCACAAATCCCTCATACTCGCAAAACATTGTTCTCATCTCACTCAACTCAACGCAGTACAACTCAGTCTGACCGCACAGCAACCCAGTCATCTTATCGCCCCGCTATCAGTTGTCCTATGTGTAAAGATGAACACCAACTGTACCGATGTGATCAATTCCTCGCTTTGGCCCCGCACAAACGTTATTCTACAGTACGTTCATTCAATCGTTGTTTCGCATGTCTCGGTTCCCACCTCATTTCCATGTGCACGTCTAAGTCGAGCTGTCGGGTTTGCAGAAGTAACAGACATCACTCTTTACTCCATGAACCAAGCCGAGTCACCGCACCGCTGCCTAAGCCAAATGTGAATCCTGACCTACCTCAAACCTCCGCTGCGCATTCATCGCCCTCAACCACAGTCAACCCCGCGCCTACTACTTCTGTTAACACTACACCGCCTGCTCAAACTTTATCCTGTCAGTTTCAGCATAATGCAATGAGTAATTCTACCCTGCTAGGTACCGCTCAAGTGTTGGTTCAAGATGCTCTAGGCCACTGGCAAGTTTGCCGTGCTGTTATTGATGGAGGTAGTCAGATTAATTTTGTTACTCAATCTCTAGCCCAGACGTTACGTTTACCAATCAGAAAATGTAATGTTAACATTTCTGGGATTGGCCAACAATCTGATTTAACCGCAAAAGGACTTGTCACTTGTAACGTTGCTTCCCGCTATAACAGAGACGATAGTATTCAAATGGACGCAGTAATAATTCCTCAAATCTCTTCTGTACTTCCGGCTGCACCTATTCCCGAATCATTGATAAATCGTTTCAATTCTATACAACTGGCTGACCCTGATTTTCACCGCCCTGCCAAGGTTGATATTTTGTTCGGAGCACAGGCTTTCACAGACATTCTTTCGGATGGTTTCGCGCTTATTAAAGGCAAACCAAGCGCCCTCAGCACAATCTTTGGATGGATCCTTATGGGTGATGTTCCCACACAGCCCATGCAACAACACGAACTAAATTCTTTGTTTGTTTCATCTCAAAGCACTGATAGGCTCTTAGAAAAGTTCTGGGAAATGGAAGAAATAAATTTACCAAAACCCTTGAGTCGCTCTGATCAAGCATGTGAAGACCACTATCAGTCCACTATCCAGAGAGATAATACCGGACGTTACGTGGCCTCCTTACCCTTTAAAGACGTTAAACCTGACTTAGGCTCCACTAGAAAAATAGCTCTCAGCAAGTATCTCCAACAAGAGACGAGATTTCACAAGAAACCAGATATTCGTTTACAATACATGACTCACATGCAGAACTATGTTGACCTAGGTCATATGTGTTTGGCGACTGCGCCCTCTCCATACATTCTTACTCATCACGGTGTCGTTAAAGAATCTTCTACATCCTCCCCACTTCGTGTTGTGTTCAACGCTTCTGAATTAAGTGACACAAATCAGTCTCTTAATAAATCACTGTTAACTGGACCTAAGCTTCAAGCTGATATTGGAACTATTATCACAAACTTCAGATTGCACCAGATTGCTATGACTTGTGACTTCAAACAAATGTATCGAGCTATTCGT